ACTCTTTTATTCAAACCATTATTCCATGCTTTGTTATATCTTTTTATTCCCATTATCAAATTTTAAATGATGAATGTTTAGACAATGATAACAATAATTTAGAGATTTAATTTTAAAAACTCATTCAATCTGTGAAGACTATTTAAGCAAAAGAAACAAGCTGATAGTATATATAAAATAGATATATTTTGAAGATATACAGTCTTTTACAAAGATCTATGAGTTTATTTTTGTTCAATAGATGATTTTCAAAGAAAGTATTCATGTTTGAGAAAAAAATAACCATATTTGCTTTACCATTTGTAAAACCATCAATTGTTACCTCTTTTAAGTTTATTAGAAATTTTTTTCTAAAGAACCCTAATTAAAGATCACCTTCCATACTGAGAGATAAATTTTAAGAAGAACATACTTAAAAAAAAAAAGGTAAAAGATTACAAAAGTTTTTATAAAAAATAGAGACTCAAAAAAAGAAGGGGAAAGAAGAACCTTTTTACAAAAAAAAAATGAATACTACAAATGAGTTGGGGCAAAGTAATAAGAATCTTTTTGTGAGAAATAAGATAAATGAAAGAAGAAAAAATAGTGAAATGATGTGGAATGGGGTAAAATGCTAAGTTACATCAAATGAAGAGAAATGATCATTTAGTTTTAAACCTTTTAAATATATGTTTTGAGCCTATTTTATCCATTTTTTTCATGACCTCTTACCATAGCCTACATTACAACATTTAAAAGTTTAATTTGATCAAATGTGAATAGTCAAATTGAATGATCCTATATTGGGCTAAGGCATGCTTGAGATTGAACAATGAAATCATACTATGTTATTTTAGAGATTAATGTGTGAGAGATATCAATAATGGATGAAAATGGCAAAAGGAAAAACTGAAAAATGAAAAAAATAAAAAAAAGTGAAAAAATGAAAAATAAAAATGGAAAAAATGTAAAAAAAAAAAAAAGAGAAAATGAATACTCAAATTAAAAACCTGAAAAGATGATTTGAATAGAAAAAACTTCTGAGATGAAAGTTGGATAGACAGTTCAAATATGTGAAAGATTAAAGATATATAAAGATCCATCAAAGTTTAGGCAAAGTTCAATTAGCTAAAAATGATTTTAAAAGTTAATGGAATGAGTTTTTGAAAAAGAATTTTGGATTAATGTTAAGAATTGTCTAAGTATTCATTGTTTGGATATTGTGGTACCATTCAATACCATTTCTAGTGATATGCTTTGAACTTGTTCCTTTGTCTATTTGTTTTTGTACCTGACTCATTGATTACCATTGTACCAATTTATCTTGTACTTTTTTATTTTTGCATCTTCAGAATAAATAAAAAAAAAATTTGATTGAATTATATTTGTCATAATTTGAAATGATAATGTTCATAAAAGATTCCTGTATTCTTTTGAAAAAAAATCCAAGATGATGGGGGTAAAAAATTAAAAGATAGTAAAAGTTTAAAAAGATGATTTAAAAAGACATATGGTGGGATCAAATGATGAATATAATAATAGATTAGTTGATAGAATTTCTTATGAAATAGCTAGTGCTAAGAAGCTAAAAAGGAAAATGAGAGATGATGAAGTTTTGAGAATCATATTGCCATAATTAATTAGAATTTCATGGCATTAATGTTAGTGACATTTGCATTATATGTATTACATTTGCATTGTAGTTTGAACAATATATGTGTGTAATTTGGTTTGGCTATGTACTTGCATCATGCAGTAAACATTTGAATCACGACTTAGAATATGACATATGTAGTATTGTGAGAATCTAAACTGTTGTATTTGCATCATTAAGAAAGCATTTGCATCATTATCATGACATTTTTTACAAAGTTTTAAATTTGATGAAAGATTGAAAATTTTCATAACAAGAGATTTTAAACTTTTGGAGGAAAGCTTTACATTAGCATAGCATACATAGCATTTTTAAATGTTTAGTGCGAGCATGCATTACATTTAGGAATGTTTAGTGCATAAATTTAAGAAGCATGGATATTTCAAGATTCTACTTGAAGAAAATAGATATAAAAACTTTCCAATGAAAGAATTTTAAATTCTCATTTGAAAAAAGAAAAAAGGGTAAGATTCTGATCCTTGAAAAATGATGTTTCAAGAAAAACAGTTATAAATGTTATGAAGCTTTGCTCAAATGAGCATTCTTCTATTTGAAGGATGATTTGTAAGACCTTTAGGCATAATCTCTTATGATTTCTTTTGATGATTCATATGACCTTTTGACATGATTGTCGATGAGCTTTATTTATTTATTTATTTATTTTTTAGAAGCTATTGAACCTCTACTTAAAAGAGCTTTATTTATTTTCAAAGTCATTAAGCCTTTGCTTATAAGAACTTTATTTATTTTTTGAAGTCATTAAGCATCTGTTTAGAAGAACTTTATTTATTTTTCAAAAATCGTTGAGCCTTCATTTAGATGAGTCTTTTTTATTTTTTGAAGTCATTGAGCATTTATTTAGATTAGCCTTATTTATTTTTCAAAGTCGTTAAGCCTCTGTTTAGAGGAGCTTTATTTATTTTTCAAAAATTGTTGAGTCTCTGCCTAGAGGAGATTTATTTATTTCTCAAAAGTTGTAGAGCTTCTATTTAAAAGAGTTTTTATGTTGTGCAAAAAGTCTGAGTATGCTTAAAAAAAGTGTCAAGTTGATTCTTGATTGGGTTGTTTATGTCTTTGCACAATTCTTGTTTCACAAAAAATGTGAAAAAAAGGGCAGCTGTAGGCACTTTAATTTATCTGAGGTTTTACTTGTTTCTGTTAATTAAAAAAATAAATAATAAAAATGAAAAAAAAAGGAAAAAGAAATCAAGTGTTTGAGTTTAAACGAAATTGTTTGTCTATGTTTGGATTGGACTTAAAATCTAAAGTTAAAATTTAAAAGGAATCAAAATCCTTTTTGGATTAGGTTTTTTTTTATCATAATCTTATAAATACATACATACACAGAAGGAAAAAATACACATAAAGATAAATAAAAAAATATATGCAAAAGTAACCGGAGAGTAAGAAAATTTTTAAGAGAATTTTGGGTTTAAAAAGATTTTTTTTTGGAAATTTTTTCAAAAAATTTCTAGATTTTGGTTGAATTTTTCTACGATCTTTGAAGATTTCGATGACTTTTCAACAGGATTATCAGTTTTCAGCATTGATTTTTAAGAAATCGTTGAACTTTCCATGAACTTTTGACGACTCAACCCAGATTCTAACAAAAATTTTTAGAATCTGATGAATATTCAATCGAAGTTCATCTGAGTTTTAGAGAGAGAAAGAAAAGAGAAGGGAAGAGAGAGAGAAAAAATCTGAAGAAAAAAGAAAGAATCTGATCTTTTATACTATTGTTAAACGATGTCATTTTGGGTGTTTAAGAACTCAGGATTCACATGTTTTCTAGAGGGTGACCTGACCTATAGTGCTTGACCTGTTTCTGACCTGTGTCCCTAGCTCACGCTAAGCAGAGCTGCTAGCCGTGCCATTCCAGTTGCTTCCTCTGCCTACAGCCGACCTGAGTTCTCTAGATGAACTGAGTCATTTTTCTGTTTTGGTATTTTTATTTTTTATTTATTTTTGCATGATTAAATTTTAGGAAAAGTAAAAAAAATATAAAACAAAATAAAATTTTTTTTAGAATAAATAATAATTATCCAATGATGAAATTTTTAAAAATTTTAAATGATAAATTTTTATAAAATTCCTATATGAGAAATTTTTTCTAAATTTGTCCTAAATAATGAAATAATTTAAAGAAAGTTTAAATAATAATAATAATTAATATTTATCTTTAATTTAAAAAAATAAAAATTTTTAATTTTGGAATTAAATAAGAATTACCTAATGATGAGATTGTTAGAAATTTTAAATGATAAATGTCTTAATAAATCTCTAGGTGAGAAATTTCTCTAAATTTATCCCAAATTGTGGAATAATTTAGATGAAATTTAAATTAAAATAATTGTATTCTTTTCCAAATAAAAAAATTTCTGATTAAAAATATTTAACAATTATCCAAAGATGAGAATATTAGAAATTTCAAATGATAAATTTTCTAAAAAATCTCTAGGTGAGAATTTTTTTTTAAATTTATTCCAAATAGTAAAAAAATTTAAATGAAACTTAAAAAAAATAATTATCATATTATTTTCTTTTCAAAGATTAAGAAACTAATGAAATTTTTTTTTAAATAGACCAAAATGGTGAAAAATTTAAAAATAAAGTAAAGTAAAAAATAAAAATAAATTTCGATGATGAAATTCTTAGTAATCGCAAATGATTTATTATCTAAAAAACTCTAGGTCAGAAGATATTTTTAATTTTGGTCCAAATGGTGGATAGATAATATATATTTTTAAAAAATAAAATAAAATAAAATAATGGTTAAATCTTTTTCCGACGATGGAACCTTTTCAAGAAAATAAATATACTCTTGAGGTGATGAAGTATTTTTAAAATTTCTATCAAATTGATAGAGAATCTTAAAGTTATTTACAATATTCAACATTAAAATTTAAGATCATTAGAATAAAAACCTTAGGATAATTTAAAATAAAATAGTAACATCCTTTGGATGGACATGTGAGAGTGCTATAACCTTACTTATATGTAATCGAGTTCTTGAATCATGTTCTAATTAGTATACCAAAATTTATTCTTTTAATAATTTTTAGTCAAGCTTAAGAGTTTTTTAAAAAGATAGATTCATTAGGTGGTCAATCACACTTAAGTAAAAATTATTAGTGGTGACTTTTCTTATTAAGTTTAGTTATAGATTTACAGATCTATACGTTATGATACTAGTGTTTGTAAAAATCATGCATGCATGTATGTTTAAATTAACTAGTTTAGTTCTACATCACTTGCGCGACTTAGTATAATATGAATTGCGAAAGAATTAACTTGAAATAAGACAAAGTAATTTTCATGTTTCGGATTTGATTGTTTTGTCCTTGTGATAATGTGTTCTGCCATTTACGCACTTACAATTAATCAACAAGTAACTACTAATTAACTTAAAATGCAATGACAATGGAAGATACAAGCAATTAAAACACATCCTCTTTATTGATCGAACTTTGTAGATACTCTTACATGTAGAGGATATTGTTACAAGATGGTATCCTAGTTGTACAAAAGCAATCGGCAGAAATTGCTGAAACATTAAAAAAAAAACTTTCACATCTTGAAGAAGAATAACAAGAAGTAGAGAGTGGGGAAAATCAAATTATCTTTCTGAACATACAAATTAGTACAAACCTTTATTTAAATGAATCTTTTTTCTTTTTCTTCACTGCAATTTGACCCAAATGCCCTGGCTGGGAATGCCTTGATGGACCGCAAATATAAGATAAAACCCTGCTGGCGCAAGATTACCTGAACTTGGCGTCGTGACATCAATGTTATACGTTGATTTCCCCAAAGCCGTTAGCTTGTCATTTCCAAGTACAAGCAGCCTTTGATTCATAGAGAATGAATGTGTATTGAAAGGTGGTGCCACCATTGTTACAGACACCAAGTTTTGAGCTACATTACCCGTAATCACCACTTGAACTGTTAATTTGTTCCCGTATTTAATCCCGGACATTGACTTTGGAGCAACGATTGTCGGTCGTAAGTTATTGTATTTAGCGTCCAAATATGCCGGAGAGAATGCCTCTAAGCTTAGTTCAGTAGGGAAAAGAACCCCTGTAAATTTGTAAAACGCGTGAGGATTGCTTCCACCAACTAAAACTCTGCCATCACGAAGTAATGCTGCTGAGGAGTGGTACATCCGAGGAATTGTTGTGGGGTTTTGTGTCTCGAACCGTGTCCCAATTTTGCTATCAGGCCGGTACAAGACTGGATTTAAAACCGGGTTCCTACCCATTTCCCATCCTGCTGATCCAGAACCTGCCCCGTTGATGAGCAAAACGTTGCCAATTGGAAGCAATAACATGTCTCCCATAACTCTAGCTAGAGGCATAGTCTCCATGACCCACTGTGGGTTGGGGTCGGTTATATTGATCCTGGCGCAAGTGTTCAAGGCTCCAATGAACTTACCTCGTAAGGCTTGGACAAAAGATCCTTTAGGAGCACCTCCACAAACCAAAACTTCAGCTTGAATAGCTGGTGCTTTCAAGTTCTTCAATGGAAGCAAGACAGCTGAGCCAGTGCTTGGATAGCTTCTAGGATCGCCACCTGGAATATTTGGATACGTCTTCACAACTTTATTTTTCACATAGTTAAGCAAAATAGCTCGATTGTTTGCGAAAATAAATAAGTTTCCATCAACATTTAGGAAAACGAAAGGATAGAGATTGTTCTCTACTCCTTTGTCATTGGTTTCCGACAAGAAAGGCAAATTGAACGTGTTGGCTGCAATATTTTTAGGAACAAACTCGTAGTTAAATTGTTTGCGACCACCGACAATAATTTGTCTTCCATCTGGCAAGATATGGTTGGTGGCATACCATCTTTTGACTGCCAATCCATCTGGTAGTTCTTTCCAATCGCAGGTCCCGCATGGGCTAAAAACTCTGACCCTTCTTTCACCGTCATTGAAACCACCGGTTTGGACCAAATTACCATCAGGCGTGATAGCGCCTGAAGAGCACCATACGTTGGTTTGGACCATAAGAGCCCTGAGCTTATTAGTCAAAACATCGTACTCAACTGAATGAGCCGTGCAATCTACTTTGAGAGCTGCGTCACTTGGGACATTGCGGCATTTCCCATTTGGCAGTGGCAGCTTTGATGGGCCAAAATCAGTTCTGTCAAACATAACTACTCGGTCGTTTCTAAGGAGCTGCATGTGCATGGCTGAAATGCCAATGCTTTTTTGTAGAAGTTGCCATCGACCGTCAGCTGCGGAGGTGAGGACGTGGTGAAATGGCTGTAAGGCAAAGAGGACTTGAAAGAGGAGGATTGAGAAAATAAATGATGGGGCTGACATATTTGATTGGGGAGGGCTTTTGCTTTTGTATTTATGGGTGTCCTTTGCTGCAGTAGTACCGTGGGGTGTCCGGTCCTATTTATAAATGCCTCATGAAGGAGAGTATTAATGGGGTTTGAGAATCCCACACGCATGTGTGACACGTGGGAGACTTGTTCTGATTAGTGAAAACGATGGTTTCTGGTTTTAAAATTAGGCAATTTGGAGGCAGGAAGCTGGCCACTTCGATTTTAGATTGTTAGTGAGATTAGAATGTTTCTAAGGTTTGAAATTTGGCTTATTGTTGGTAATATATTAGTTTGAAGTTGGATTACCTATTGTCTTTCTTCATCAGCTAGTTTGGTGGATAATCCAAAGTGCAAACTGAACACATCACCCTGGATTTTTACATTTCTGGTTTCACCCATTGCAGTCTTTAATGTCTGAACTCTGAAGTCTCAAAACTCTGATTTCACAGTGCAAGTTGGTTCACTAAATTAAATGATAGACAACATATATAAGAGCCAAAGAGTTGCATTATTGACAGTTAATTAAGATTGCTAGCTTTGCAATATTTTTAGGAAGTCACCCATGCCAGCATTCATGAATGAGAATAAGAATACAACTCAGATGGGATATTTAGGCATCTTATGGTTTATATTAGAGCCATGATTGATTTAAAATAATAAAAATATCATAACTTTTAAGTTTACACGCGTTGCTTCCTTCCCAAATGGCAAGATTCGTACCATATCTGGAGTTGTAATTTGTTTTTCCCCATTTTTATAAGCCTAGTATAGACAAGGTTAGATTGCTGGTCTGATTGAGTGAAATATATGTTGTGTTCCAATTATTCTGATGCCATGTTTGAAGGTATGATGGAGATATGTTATTTAAAATATGAGTTGCCCTATTAACCATTTCTAATCCACAATGTATTGAATCTACTTGTGAATCATACAGATTGATGGTTTGTTTAACCTAAAAAATATCTGAGATCTGAAATTTTGCATGAAGAAAATAGATCAAAATTCACAAATCATTTAGAGCTAGTTTGGGTTGCATCACATTCAAGTTTTTTTTGCATTGTGTGATACATTTAGATAGTATTTTACAGTGCAGTTGACTTAGTGTTCTTTTAATTTCTGTTCAGCTTGAAAAAGATCTACTGGTTTATTGAATCTTAGGATAGTTCATTGTCTAGGTGTAAATTGAAGTAGCACATTTTTCAATTATGGCAATTGACTATTTTCGGCTGCAATAGACTTTTATATATATATATATATATATATATATTGGAGATGCCCGCTTATAATATATATAAAAAATTATTAATAAATTTATTAATTTTACCGATGAAAATTGTATTTAAAGGAAAATTTTCTTTCAAAACTTTTTATTTTTTAATTTTGAGGTATCTAAGAGAAAATTATGAAGGTGTAAAAGAGAAATTTCCCTTTAAATTTTGAAGAATGTCCATGTACACTCTTTCATAAAAGATGGATCCACAAATAATTTTTATTAGACAGTTAATTATTATATTCAATTTCTCCGTTATCATTTGAATCCAAATACATATTTTTATCACTTATTTTAATTTTAACGCTATAATTTTAATCTTATCTAATTTTATTGTTGTTGCGATATTTAATATCACCAAAATCAATTTCATAGCCCAATCCTTATTCATCAACAGCTTAACTTGACAAATAAAAAGATGCTATAAAAAGCAAGAATATGGCAATGACCTGTAACCTGTTGGCCAGTATTTTTTTTTTCCTTTTTCCATGCAGCCTTTAGCCCTTCACCGACGGTTATTCAATGAAGCAACTGACTCTAATCTCTAATACATATGTCCATTAACCCTAAATTTAACAGTGATTAATTAAGGATTCTGATAACATGGAAGAAAGTGACTTTGGCAGAAAACAGCCTTCTTTTTTATCTCTCTTGGTTTGATTCTTCTTTGTTAGGCGATGAAGCACGTCTCTATTTTTCTCTTTTCTTTTCCATTTCACCATTTTAATGATTGGTCCACAGGTTGGAATAACATCTAGCTTATGGGTTCTGTTAACTGAGTTAATTGGCCGCCATAAGGTGGTTTTCTTTTGTTGTTTATTGAGTCTTTAGGTGAAATTATTTTTTCTTTTGTTAATGTTTGACATTATGATATGATTAGATTCTTTTCTTATTATGTATTTTGATGAACTTGTAATTAATCTTAAATTAAATAATTATAATCAACTGTGCATTGTTTTTATCAAAGGGGTATCCTTTTTTTTCAATGCAAAACATGAAGTTTTTATACTATTAAATTTGAAAAAATCAAAATGAAATTTGAAGGAACTGATTTTAGATAAAGAAGAAATAACATAGGATACCCAAATTTCACACAATTTAATTGGCAGACTCTTCTTGTTGGGTGAAACAAAATTATGACTGGTGTTTCCGGCAACCCAATTGTGAGTTGTGGTCCGAACGCAGATCATAGTTTTGGGACACTCAAGAAATAGTTTGATTCTAGTCTACATCAGACATTAATGAAGTTTTGCTTTTGAATTTGAAAATTTTACAACACTCGAATTGAGGAGAGAAATCTCTCCATTACAAGCAAAAGGAATTGAAAGACAATTTGGTTCCAAATTCTGCACGCCAACAGTCGGTCCATCTGGCAACACAACAATGTTAGCCTCCGTTGACTAACCATATCTCGCTGCTGATTGACACGGCCATGAATAGCTCTTCCTTCGTAACTTACAGTAGGAGGCAAATTAAGACCAACCGGGCACTGAAGTGACTAATTTAAGCGAATTGACTGTTGTTTCACTTGAATAGCAGATAGAAATCGATTCTTATGATGCTATTACATCGTTTGAAACTGAATTTTTTTTACCAATCATCTGAATGAATCTTATGTTAAATTAGAATTCATGGCTTTCTTATAGCTTAAATGTAAAATTTTGACGGCTAAATTATTTGGGTTTAACTGACTTGCTCTTATACAACTATTTTTATTTTTAAAAATACCTATTTTTGCAAAATACAACTATGTTTAATTTCAATTTTTTTTAAATGGTATACTAATTCCAATTAAACAAGGAACTAAACCCAAGATGGAAAATTTAGACAATGATTTAGTTTCAATAACTTCTAATTGTGATTAAAATAGGATAGCTGAAAGAAAAAGAGAGAAAGTGTCTTAAGGAATCCAATTCCAACCTTTAATTCATTTTCATTTAAAAATAGAATAGCTAAAAATTTGAGGCCATTAATATGCCAATGCTCTGTCTGTCTGAAACGAAACTGTAGAATCTTCCTGGTTTGTCGTGTCAAAATTGCTGTCGTGTGTTCACTGTCTAGTGGTGTTTTTGATGTAATTATACAGGTGCAAACTGTAAAAAAGAGAGGTTCAATTCGTTTTGTAGTTTGGGTTTTTAAGGAATGGGCCCTAAACTTGTCATTGAAGAAATCGAGATTTTGGTTCTGATAGGAATTATTCCTTCTTAGGTGTAAAAGAAGGATTTTGGTTTCTTTTCTTTTTAGACCAAACCAAAAGCTGGTACTTGGGACTTTGCAGGTTCATCATAGCTTTGAGCTGTTTCTTTCTTTTTCTTTTTTTTTTGGTTACCTTGTAACGACCAACTGTAAAGAGATGTTTTTCAGGATTTGTCAATTGAACTGTGAATTTGCTTTTAAAAAGAATGGTTTTATAGATCTGACAAGCAAATGAAACAAAAATTACAGCTTCAAAAAAAAAAAAAATCTATAACCAAGAAATTTAATCATGTTCTGAAACTGTTTATTGTTATTTATCAATTGGGAAATTTGATTAAGCAAATTTCTCCTAATGATTGAACTGGTTGGTCACTGTCGATCGGTTTCGAACATAGCTGACAAACTTAAGACTTGCAAATGAAAATTATCAAGAATTAAAATGTTTGGGAATATTGGTACCTCAATGAGCTGTGCAATCTTTTTTTGTTTTTGTGTTTTCATGTTTTAAATAGGAACAACACATTAAATTTTATGTCGTGTTTTGTAATATTCGTCAAAAATCAAATATTAAAATTCTAACACTTTCGTTTCAATTATGTTACTACGTTAATAATTAGATGCATTAATATAACTAATTAAGGGGACAAGAAAATAAAACCTTTGACTTTCCAACATTCTATCCATTGAACTAGATAGAGTTTGATTCCATATTTTTTATGATTCTCTGCAAACATTTTTGTGTTTATTTGTTTTCTCATTACATTTTCCCCACATTGGTTGTCCCTCAAAGTTTTTGGTTTCAGAATTTAGAATGTTGTGTAAGAAACTTATTTTCTTCAGGAAGAAAATAAAAAAAAAAAAGAATAATAAAACATATGTCATGAATTCATGACTAATAGTTTAAAACCGAAATATTCGATTGAGAGAATTTTTAGTTGATAAAACTACCCAAGAAGTATTAAGCTCTGGTTTCTTAATTAGCTTTGATATTCCTGACTGGGAATTGGATTTCAACTTCGGAATTGTATACATTATCCTCATTACCAAGTCAAATTCTGATGATTTCAGGAATGTATATAACAAAATAATGAAAGTCTTCCTTTCATCTGTTTGACAATGCTGCGTTTTAATTGATATGGATAGCTGATGCTACTAGCCTAATTCAAGAAGATAATTATCGGAAAGTGGTGACAAATTAATTTAATTTGTAATCCTTCAGCTTAGATTGACATTTAATTTTCCAAGAAAATTTATCAGACTGCACCAAATAAAAGATTCTCACTTAATTTTATTTTAGGGACGACCTTAGATTGAATAGTTCCTAACTTATATCTAAAATTATATTTTTTTAATAAAAAAATTGCAGGCGCTGAAATTATATGTATTCAAATACTTGACCAACTTTCTCTTTAATGTCGACGATTTCAATCATGTTTACCTATAATAATAATCATGGCTTATCTAAGCTTTTTCTTCCTCTTTATTATCTCTGATCATATTTATAATTAAAGAGTTGACATTTGTTCTTCTCCTAGTCTAGCAATTATAATAACCCAGGTGCTTAACATATGAATGATAAAATTTTAAAAAAAGAAATATTCAAACAAACTTTGGTTTTCCTTAGATTGGTGCTTAATTATAAACGGATTAGCTTCATTTAAGATTATTATTACTATGGCGGCTTGTTTAGAAGAAATTAAATGATTAGGTAGCTCCAATGTTTCTATCAAAGCATTGAAGTGTTCAAATTGATGAAGTCTTCAGATCATTCTTGTCAGATTTCCTATTGGACTGGCTACTGCTTATGCATGCACTTTCAAAATTCCGTCAGTTTCATAATGCATTTCAAGAATCTAGATCAGTCCATTTAATAACATAGAGGTCTACGCGATACTGCAGATTTATTTTAATTTTTTAATAAAATTGTTAGTTGATGAAATAAAAAATAATAGTAAAGATAATATATTTTTTTGGTATAAAAAATTTAGAGATAGACATGTTATTTAATTATTTAAGTCAAAATAAAATATATCATACAATTTAAAATAAATAATAAATCATATATTTAAAATGATCTAAACAAATAATTACTGATAAAATTTAAGTTTAAAAAAGTGAACGTTGACATGAGTTAAATTCAAAATCTTTCATAAAAAATAAATTTTAATAAATTCAGTCAATTACTTATTAATAATAATAAAAATAATTGTATCGTATTAACTTATCATTTGTGTATTGCTTTGGCTAATATATTTAAAAACATTTCG